ATGCTTGAATTAAACCAGAATAATAAGGTGCCTGCCAGGGGAGGATTTGAGAGCAAGTTTGAAGCAGAAGGAACAAGTACAAAGCCCCCAAGAGGGATAATCTTGGCATGTTAGAGACCCATAAGGAACCTAGACAACAGTCAGAAGGGGGCGTGGTGGGAGATAAAGCTGATTTGGGTCGGGAAAGGATTTCTTAAACACCCTCGCCCCCTTCTCAGAGTTGAGATGAAGGAGAAGGACACGGACCAAGCCAGGCACGGCTTCTGGCCATGGTGAAAGGTTGTATGTTATTCCAGGTGTAACGGGAAACACACAGTTTTCAAGAGGGAAGATATTTTTCAAATTTTACTTTCTTTTATTTTCTGGCTTCTGTGTGAAAAAAAAAGAGACATAAGGGGCAGGAGCCCTCTTACAACTCTTTTGTAAGGCAGAGTCCCAGGTGCACGAAGGTGACTTGGAATTGGGTGGCAGTGGGACAAGTAGACAGGTATTATGGGATGCTTCCTAGAGACTGTGAGGTATAGGAGTTACGGTCAAGAGCTACTTGGAAAAGTTCGGTAAGAGCAGAGAGAAATTACTCCCTGGGAATGTTCTAGGCCAGTGCTTTAGTGTGCATGTGAATCCTCTAGGGATCTTTGTAAAGTGCAGATTGTGACTCGGGAGGTCTGAGGTGGGGCCTGGGATTCTGCTTGTCTAACCAGTTTCCAGGTGATGTCACAGCTTCTGGTCTGAGAGCCACACTCAGTAGCAGGATTCTAGCACAAGTGACCTTAACTTACATATTTAGTTGTATTTCCTACTACTGTCCTGTGCATACCATGTACAGACCGGTACTGAAACAGTGGCTACATGTTGCTAAATTTAATTAAGCTAAAATAAGACATTCAGTTCCTTAGTTGCACTACTACATCTCAAATGCTCAAAGCCACAGGTGGCTAGTGGCTGCTCTATGGGACATCCCATGGATAACGAACTTGCCCTTATTAAAGAAAGTTTTACTGGGTGGCGCTGCTCCAGGCAGAGGAAACTATTTCTAGTTCTCTACGCCTCCTGTTACCATCTTTCCTTATTCTGTCTTTTCCAAGGAACGCACGTGTTGTCTCTGTTCGAATCAAATGCATCTTTTAAGAACTGTCTCAAATCTGTGTCTTCTACGGAGCTTCCTGGAACTGAAACTGGGTGAGCTGCTTCCTTCTGATCTGCGTATTTGGTTTTTCTCCGCGATGTGTTTCTACTGTATTTTGTCCACCTCGTATTCAAGGTCCCCAGCCCTTTTCTCTGGTTGTAGAACCCCACCTTCTATGGGTGTGCACGTTGGGGGGGGGAGGACTATTTCTCGCTCACGCGATTCCACATGATTCATGTGAGCCGAACGCTGCCCTCACCACGGTCATTAGCACATGAGCCAGAGGAAGCGACGTCAGTGCCAGGACATTGGCTGAATAATTAAGGGCGCTCTCTCAGCGGGGCACCCAGGAGACGAAGACAGATCCTGGACGACGTCATCTCGTGCTTGGCTCTGCCTGTCTTTGGAGCTCCTTCGACCCTCGACCGTTCCTTACCGGCAACAATCGATCTCCTCGTTCCGCTTCAGCCAGGGGGCCACGGTCATTAGCACATGAGCCAGAGGAAGCCAGTGACGTCAGTACCAGGACATTGGCTGAATAATTGAAGGCGCTCTCTCAGCGGGGCACCCAGGAGACGAAGACAGATCCTGGACGACGTCATCTCGTGCTTGGCTCTGCCTGTCTCTGGAGCTCCTTCGACCCTCGACCGTTCCTTACCGGGAACAATCGATCTCCTCGTTCCGCTTCAGCCGGGGGCCACGGTCATTAGCATATGAGCCAGAGGAAGTGACGTCAGTGCCAGGACATTGGCTGAATAATTAAGGGCGCTCTCAGCGGGGCACCCAGCCGGCCGGACGCGAGTCCGGGCCTGGGGCAGCCTTTTGCCCTCAAACGTGGAGCCCTTGGCGTGGGAATGAGAACCGCGGAGAGGAAAGCCAAGCCAGGAGACGAAGACAGATCCTGGACGACGTCATCTCGTGCTTGGCTCTGCCTGTCTCTGGAGCTCCTTCGACCCTCGACCGTTCCTTACCGGGAACAATCGATCTCCTCGTTCCGCTTCAGCCGGGGGGCCACGGTCATTAGCATATGAGCCAGAGGAAGCGACGTCAGTGCCAGGACATTGGCTGAATAATTGAAGGCGCTCTCTCAGCGGGGCACCCAGGAGATGAGGACAGATCCTGGACGACGTCATCTCATGCTTGGCTCTGCCGGTCTCTGGAGCTCCTTCGACCCTCGACCGTTCGTTACCGGGAACAATCGATCTCCTCGTTCCGCTTGAGCGGGGGCCTTGCTGACGCTCGGCCACCCCACGTCCGGCCGCCCGTTCAGCCTGCCAGTCACGCTCGCGCTCCCTTGGTTGCCGCTCACTGGTTCGCAGGAGTCCGCGAGCAGATACCTACCGAAACTACGTGTTTCTTTACAAGTCTTGATAGCCAAATTATTTTGACGTGTTGATAATCAAATGTGATGGAGCCAAACACGATTTTCCTTATATGCTAATGAGATGCTTATGGATAGTTCTCTCCCAAGTTTTTAGCTTGGCACATGCATACTACAAATTGACTAGCCTCTGTACTACGTCACGCAAAACAAGCCCAAACTCCCCAGTTAGCACGTTCTCACTTGCCCGGCTAACCCACAGGATCCTCCAGCGTATTTGTCCTTCAGCCGCCCCACCTCCCGCCTTTGAAGGACGTCTCTGAAAGCCACCGCCCTGGGCGCTGGGTGGGGCCGGCGGGGTGCCTCCAGATCCCGCTCGCCCTCCTGATCAGCTCACAGGAAACTTCTTGGCTTCCTGTGTCGTCTTCCTCTCACTACTGTCCTGTAACATACGGAATCTGACCAGACCCTGCTCCTCCAATTGGCTCAGAAGGCCCCACAGGTACCACACTGTCCGGAAGGTTCCCACACCCCAAACTCAAAGGTGGCCACAAACCCAGACGAACTCATCACCACCCCCGCCTGCCACTTGCTCTCTAAAACTGTATTTCCCAGCTAGCACTGGGCAGAAGGTGGAGTGATTCATTCTTGAAGGAACAAAGAACAGACCCTCACTCTTCCACCCTACCACTCAAAATGTACTAATTCTTGTTGTTTACAAAATAAGACTTAAGCAGCACTCTGGAGGACTACGTACATGGTAAGATTTATCTTTTATTAGAGATCTTATATTACATATTCCCAAAAAGATATAAAATCTTCCAAGAGAAAAATATCAAAACCTATCTCCAAGATACGCAACATAATCAAAATGAAAGCAAAGATTTTCTTCCAAAGGAATGTGAAAACATTTCGACACAAGTACAACAAAGACATGGGAAGGTAATTAAAATGTTTCACAACACATTTTATAGCATTTTATTTTAATCAGTATTTGAAGAAAACAAGAATGCCGAGTTCTCAAACACTGCAGGTAAAGGCTCAAATTACCAAAAAAAAAAAAAAAAAAAAATCACAGGAATGACCTACTCGCTCAACTGAACTCATCTGCGGTAACAAATGTAATAAAACCCAAGCAAACAAATATGCCACCGAGATCACAACTGAAATGTATGGTTTTTAGGTGTGCCAGAGACACTAAATTAATCAGTTCGTGACCACAACCCAAAGCAAAAGCATCCTCTCCTCATTTCCCTGATGATTTATTCTAAAAATAAAAAGCAGAAATTTGCTGGTTTAAAGAGAATTTCTGCTTTACCTGTGAACGGTGGCAACACACACTAAGACCCTGACTGACATGGGACAGATCCATCTCAAACAACCAGAAGTGGCAAAACCACTGTTATTGCATCAAGATTTTTTATTTCAACTGATCAGAATTTCCACAATGATTAAGCACACCCACTTAACCACAGAACACAGTGAACTCCCAAAGGAAGGTTTTACATTTAAGATGCAATGAAAATACTGATCTTATTCCTGGGATTTGCTTCTGGCAATCTTAACATCTATAGATGTCCACAAAAAGGAAGTGTTTTGTTTTGGTTTTTTTTCTTTTAGTTGTTTATCCCCCAAAATGAGGAAGGAAACTTACAGTACATGTTTATTGCATGAAATTACTCCCTTATAATATCTTCATCAACACCAGTATTGTTTCCTTAATTATTAAAGGCGAAAAAAATTTATGAACTTAACATAACTTAGCAATAATTGTAGGAGCTGCATCTTGGTAAAAAAAAAAAAAAAAAAAAAAGGATGATCATCAGACTACCTGGTGAAACAGAAATTAGGTTTCAACTTCTCTATAAAGATGCTGGAATGGCAGGAGGTAAAAGGAAGTTTAAAGTCAGAGAATACTAAATTTATTAGGTAACACAAAGAGAATTTTCAAAAGTGTACATACTCAGTGAATCCTTTCTATCCTAAAACTGAATATTCTAAATGTTTCTAATGTTGCTTCAGTGTTAATGTCATGTTAATCATGATCCCAAATAAATTTTATCAAAAGTACTGTAATGGCACATAGGCTTGGAACTTCACTTTGAGGTTAGCACGTACAAAAGTTTGGAATTCACTCAACACACATGTTCTTTAATAAAAGAAATCAGGATGAGCTACCTATAAGTGGATTTCAAAACAGGGTCCCTTTTAAAGCATTCTTCCATAGAGTTACCTCCTGTGAAACGGAAACAGTGTATGGATTTTGCATGTCACAAAATCCTTGCTTCAAGCTGCCATCTTCTTGGCAGCAGCGGATTTTAATGAACAGTACTTTTTCTTCCTTGTTTTGTTTTCTGACATCTCAGTACATTCAAATAGTCAAAATGTTTAGAATAACATCACCACAAATTTAATGAAACAGATCAGAATGTGGCCAGCATTGTCAGGCAAAACCGATAACACTTTACGTGTCATAGAAAGTACCCACCTCCTCCTCACCCCCGCCCTCCCCCCCTTCCTCAGTCATATGGACACCAAAAGATTTAACAAGACTTATAAAAAAATAAGGCACATTTATTTTGATATGGTTATTTTTAAAATAGAAAACCCCTCTCCGAACATCTGTATTCAAATGAGCTGTGCAAAAAGACACCTTGTGGTACCTAAAAGAGGTTATGGTACCTATGGGATTGCTTTTTCTATCTTAGTGACAATGGAATAAATTGCACCTATCCCACATTGTCAAGTAATGAAAATATGCCTCTTTTTCTACTATTGAATGATTCAAAATCTGCTATTTCTGGAAATACAAAGAGTGAGAAGGGAGGGGTCAAGTGGTACATTAGAAAAAGGTGTGAAGATCAATGATGTACAGATATCATAAGGGTTGATGGATTGCACTTTTCCACATATTTCAATACACAAAATTTTTCGAATGCGTATGAACGATTGCAACCATTTTGGCCATTAGCTATTACCCTTCAGCTTTTTATTCCATTTTGGTAAAAATGGGTATTTTTGTAAAACTAATGAAGGATCAGCAACATGAATACTTATAACAATCTCTTCACAACTCCCGACACAGATATAGTTAGTTAGCATTTAACCTGAGATACAATCTATGGAGAGGTTGTTTTAGACATTTCTTCCTTCATTGTTGCATCGATTCATACTGATGGTGGTGATTCATGGATGGAACTTAAAGAAAAACTGGCTATAGCATGGCTTTTTTTTTTCTTTCTGTACTAGTAAAAAAAAAAAATAATTATAATAATAATTATAATAACAATCACAGAATCCATGTCCTCACAGTAGCCAGAAGCTAAAATAATGTGCTTCCTTATTGCACGTCAAACCAAGAAGTGTATAAAAGACAATGCTTCCCAATCCAAATTTGAAAGCCAGGTTCATCTCAACTGGATTCGGAATGTGCTGATTTCCATGGGACTCAAGTTGATCTCACTTATATTTTGGGCGTCTGGAGGTGAATGCATCAAGGATAATGATGAAGGTATGAGACTTGCGACAGTAAACATGCTAAAAAGCTTCTGTACCAAAATCTAGAAAATAAATGATAAAAAAAATTGCACAGTTAGGTCAACTTTGAAGAAAGATTAGTAGCACATCTATATATTTATTCAGTGGAAAATAGTAGGAGAGTAAAACAGTGTATTTGAAGTTTCCTTTTAATAATAAAAAGAGGAAGAGGAAGGAGATTAGATACAGCTATGTGTGCCTGGACACACAGACCACCCTGGAGGGACACCTAGGAGAAGTGTAACCAGGAGAGGACAGCTCACTCTACATTCTTCTTCTGAATTTCTTGAGAACTTATCACGTGCAGGGGCCACTTTTTCAATAAAAGAAAACACATCTATGAGCCAGCAAGCTTTAAAAACATCCGTATCCTCTTACACCCAACATTTACACCTAACAGTTGTCGTTCTTCTTCTTCCCAAAGAGCTGAGAGAAAGGACACAGGCTCCTCATGTCAGTGAGTCCCATTTTCAGGGTTGGGGGGTTGCTGAGAAAGTACTACCCTCATCCCATGTCTCTCTGGACCATATAATCCCCTTAAAACTTGACGCCTTAATGTCTATATACAAATGCTTACAACCAAGTACACTCACATCATCAGTAATAAGGTAAAGCGTAAATATCATGAAAAACAAACCCCAAACCATCAGTGCTTTCTTCGCACCAATTCCACGGAGGGCATGGTACGAGAAATGAAGAAGCTTATCTGCCTAAGTGGATTTTGACCCCCTACCATATTGTCTTTTCTCTCCTTTTCAGACCCTATGCACATTCTAGTTGGTAGGGTTGGAAATGAATCTCTTAAGTCTGATCTACAGGTTATCTGTGAGGTTTTGGAGAAGAGCTGGGTCAGCTGAGCTGCCCCGTGGGGCAGACCTGCCTGTGTGCCATCCAGCTGTCTTCTCTGAGCACAACCTGCTCAGAGCCAGAGGCAGAAGGCTGGAGGTTCATTTCCTTCCAAGGAGAGCCTGAGGGAACTATCAGAAAGACCAGCTCAAAGGAGACAGAAAAACTGGGCAGCCGGCAGGTCAGCCTGAAGACCTGTTTGGCTGGCACAGTGAGGACTCCTATGCAAATCTGTCTTGATCAGGAGATCTAGACCCTCATTTCCCCTGCGACAACAACTGACTGGAGCTAAGTAAGGTTGCTTCGGGGCCGTGGTGAAACTCCCCGACTGGCCAGTGTCACCACTTCCCTACCCCACCCCACCCCACCTTTAGTTATTATAAAACCTGCTTTTGCCCCTCTGAGACTTCATGGACCTAGATCCTACATGAGCATGTGTGAGAGAGGAGGGAATATTGGGGGATGGGGGGTGGGGAGAGGATGTTTTGTCGGCTGGCAACGGAAGGCCTAGGAATGGAGGAGAATGTTGCCCCTACACGTGCCCATGTTCCAGACGTGCATTTTGATGCTGACAAGGAGAAGAGATCGAAGGTTGAGAAAGTGCTTTCTTAAGATGGAGAGACTTGAGCTAAATTACAGCAGCTGAGGGGAATGAGTCCACGAAGAGGCAATGAAACGTTATCTTATTGTCAGAATGATTAGCAGAAAGCAAGGATTTCAAAGCACATGAAATCAACAAGCAAAAACCACTTTTCAGCTCACCTTTCCCTGGGTTGTGGAACAAAGCAGCCCCGTGTCTCTGCTCGAGAAGCGGCAGTCAAACCCCTTCCTGTGGAGGATCAAGGCTGCCTCATCGGAATGCTTGCCATCCACCTGCAGATGAGCATAGAGTGACAAGACGCCACAGCGACATTAAGGCAAATAGCGACACCACTGTATACTCCACTGTTTTAAAGTCAGCGTCCCCAAACCAAAAATGCTCACTTTATTTAGCAGTGAAGCCAGGAAAATTCATTTCCCCTCCAGTCCCACGTTCACTGTCACACCTGCTACATCCCCTCTACCTCCCCCACAAGGAGGCAGGTGACAATATGTTTTAAGTCACCTCATGCCCTGGTTTCTGGCACAGTCCCCAAGGACCTGCGTGTCCTTTTGTCTACATGCCACATACTGTTTTATCAAAGTTTCTTCAAATAAAGCATTTACTTTTTTTTAATTTAAATTCAATTACTTAACATATAATGTATTACTGGTTTCATGTCTAGGTAGAGGTCAGTGATTCATCAGTCTTATATAATACCCAGTGCTCATTACATCACGTGCCCTCCTAAATGTCTATCACCCAGTTACCCCATTCCTGTAACCCCTCCCCTCCAGCAACCCTCAGTTTGTTCCCTATGATTAAGAGTCTCTTATGGTTTGTCTCCCTCTCTGGTTTTGTCTTGTTTTACTTTTTCCTCCCTTCCCCTATGATCCTGTTTTGTTTCTTAAATTCCACATACGAGTGAGATTATATATGATAATTGTCTTTCTCTGACTGACTTATTTCGCTTAGCATAATACCCTCTAGTTCCACCCACGTTGTTGCAAAGGGGCAAATAAAGCATTTAATTTTTATTTATTTGGTTTTTAACATACACACCAGCTGAATAAAGTGTACCTGAATTTAGTCCTTATCTGGTCATTGAATGATGTATCATCCATCTCAAAACTGAAACACACTTCTTTATTGAATGCTAATTTTTGCTAACTGCATTAACATTTTTAATCTTTAATGCACTGGTTCATTATTTTTTATATAAAAGACATTTAAATTGAGTTAGTTATGCTTATCACTTGCTAGGCCAACCACATTTATTAGCTTGATGTATCATTTAAATTCACATTACAGAAGCTATTCTTCTTGTGCAAAGAGAAAAATACTAAACATGACAAGTCAGCTACAGGGATCAATATATACTTTCTTGCAGTAAAATTTCTTGCATCCATTTAAGTAAAGATGCCAGGAGTGCTCTGAATATTTTAAGTTACAATTCTCTTAATAAATTTTATGTTTCCTCAAGGGGGGAGACGCTTCTGATAATAAGCAAAATAAATTAAGAATCCTTGGACGAATTAAGAAAGGGACAGCTATTCAAAGGAGTTCAGGGTGCTCAGCACTGACCTGTGATGAAAATGATCCCTTTTTCTCCTCTGTGGCCACAGATACGAATATGTCCAAGTTCTTAATCATCTTCACTGGGGGATATGATTTTTAAATGTGCCACAGAGACATCTTTTCTGAGGAGGAGCTGTCAGCATTCTCACCACTGATTTGACTTTAATGTGCCTCAACAATTTAAAGCTGGCCTCACCTCGGATTCTTGGCTGGAATAACCTGCTTTATGATATTTCACACTGGTATTCTGCAGTGGTACTGCTAAGATTTTGTTTGAAGGGAGAGGAAAAAGTCATTTAAGGAATTCTGAGTCATCACAGGACCAACATGATAAACATAGCAAGTTTAAATCATATGACAATGTTTTCTAATAAAATTTCAAGGTGGGGCGCCTGGGTGGCTCAGTTGGTTAAGCGACTGCCTTCGGCTCAGGTCATGATCCTGGAGTCCCTGGATCGAGTCCCGCATCGAGCTCCCTGCTCAGCGGGGGGTCTGCTTCCCCCTCTGCCCTCTTCCCTCTCGTGCTCTCTGTCTCTCATTCTCTCTCTCAAATAAATAAATAAAATCTTAAAAAAAAATAAAAAAAATAAAAAAATAAAATTTCAAGGTGTTTCACACAGTCCCAAAAGAGCATGAAAAGAGCACAGTAAAAAAAAAAAAAAAAAAAAAAAAAAAAATCCTTCATTTATGACATACATAAGGTCTCCAGAAGGACAAGGACAAGTCTCTCGTGTGCTAAGTGTATAGGCTTGGAATAGTTACTGATCACCTAAGCATCAGTTTCTTTGCCTATAAAATGGACCTAATGCAGGTTTCCCCTCTTCATGGAGTCATGGCGTCTAGTAAGACGTTGAAAATACGAGGTAGGGTGGCTTAGCTTATAGGACAGAATGTGTTGGTGTAGAAGCTACAGAAAATGGATCAGAACCTGGGCTGGGAGTCAGGCAGCTCGACATCTAGATCCTAGCTCTGCAATTTCCTAGATGCTTTTAGCAAAACCTGGTTTCTCCTGTAGCATAAAATGGAGATGAAATTCAATTGTGTAACAGAGACTCAGCCCAGTGTCTGCAGCAGAGGAAGCCCTTGGTACATTTTAGCCATTATTCTTTCTGTCATTGTAATCTATCAGATAAGTACTGGTGATTATTTTCCCAATAGCTCACTTAATTTTTTATTCACAAATTTTCTTTAGTGACATTATAACTCTGTAGCTGAGGAATCAGAGACCCTCCAAACTGTATGTCAACAATTATGCATCAAAATCATAACATAACAAAATCATGACTAAGTCCCAATTCAGATTCACTATTTACATGGTCTATTGATGAGGCTCTTTTAAAAGCACTTATCATTATAACCTGAAGCATTTAGCCATTTTAACTCACTAAACCATCCTTACAAAACCACCAGACAGCAGGCTTTGTGAAAATTCCTGCAACACATCTGCTCTTGAAATAATGAATGTGTGAGGCCTTTACCAGACTGGAGGTGATAATAAAAAAAAAAAAAGCAAAAGGAAGCATCTTTGGAATTTTGCCATTAGTTTTACAAGAGATTTAAACAATGCAAAAGTAGAAATTGAAGTCATAAAGAGTAATTTTCACTGATGGAAAAATGTTACACTTTCTCTAAAAACCAAAACTGCATCACTTTCGTAAGGACCAGAACACCAACTGAAATAGCAATCATCTTGTCCAAGTTTTTAAAACTTAAATATTCATGAAAGTATCAGTTTTCAAGCAAAAATACCTGAGGCAAAGCAGCAGTTTTTCAGTTTCAAAGTCTGTCTCGTCATTTTATTTCCAAGAAAACTGTTTTTCAAAGTAGGGAAACTGTGAATTTAACTTGAATATGCATGCCAGAAAACAGATACCTTCACAAAAAAGATGCTGTTCACTCGAGGAGAGTAAACAGACTCTGAAAGACCTGTTTTTATATTCATTAATGTATGAGTACTATCCGGACCTCAGATCACATTTGAGACTGAATCCCCTCGGGAAGGCCTGGGTGTTCCGAAGTCACTTGGAGAATCCACCGCAGAACTTACTTCCAGGGGATAAAGCAACCTGTGGATCTGAGGCTAAGCAGGGCCCGGGAGGTTTCTCTGGCAACGGGGTGGGGTGGGGGGGCACGGAAGATGGTGCGGCTGGCAGAACGACGCCATCAAGGCTAGAAGAAGCTGGACTGGGGGCAAAACACACGAACCAGTCCTGTGTCTGCAGATACGTCATTTAACCTCTCAGAACTCAGAAAACTCGGGAGACTCGTGAAGCGCCCCTCTGAGGATCAAGTCCCAACCACAGTGACAGTAACAGTAATCGCAGCTAACACTTTTTGAGCACTTGCCGTGTGTGGGACCCTGTACAGAATACTTCTCACGGAAGAACTCAATTCATCTCATAACAGCCTTTGAAACAGTGGAGTTGGTATACAAGTTTGTATTATTATATTTAAGTGCACATGAACATCGCAATCATGAAGCATGCCTTCTCATAGTCAACTAGCAATGATCACTGACCGACCCTACATTAGTCCTTCATGACCTTTCCCACAGATGGTGGATCCTTCTGAGGGTGTCCCATCATAACTGAGTGGTCAAGAGAAAAACAGGCAGAGTATTCCCTAACATTTTCAGCACTCTCACTCCCCTTTGTTTCCATACAAGAGGAGTAGAAGGTTCTGGGCGGGGATCTGGAGTCAACATGCTGGGGTGCGCCTCTGAGCACACCATTTACTGGCTGCATGACCTGGGAAAGCTACCTACCATCTTTAGGTCAGCTAGTTTCCTCTTCTGTAACAGGGGGGCACAATATTGCCTACCTTCACAGTACTGCTGGGAGAGCTAAATAAGGCTCTCTTTACAAAGAAAACACTCAGCATAATGCCCGGCACACAATTTTAGGTATCTTATTAACTTTTCAAAAAATATATACGGAATACAAGTCAAGGTGACATCGAGATTTACTTTGGGAATAAAATTCAACCTCCAATTTATAAAAAAAAAAGTGCCTACATTTTATTTCATTTTTAGCAACAATCACCACTGCTCATGACTGAACTCTCACTGTTGACAACCTTCATTCGTCACGCACTCAGTGCTTAGTACGTGCCAGATACTGTTCTAAGTGCTCTACAAACATTAACTCATTTGATCCCTAGGACACCTCTGAGGTGTGTCCTGTTATCATGGCCACGTTGCGAATGAGGCAAATGGGAGAATGAGGGGCTGTGTGCTAAGCAAACTGGCCGGTAAGCACAGGTGATGCGCTCAAACAAAGGCAGCGGGACTCCAAAGGGCTCTACCAGCTTCGCCCCCCTGCCTTCGCGCTAGCTATGGACTGGCACTCAAGGACACCCGCTAGGAGGGGAAAGAAAAAGATCACTTTTAATGTAACAGAAGAAAAGGCTATAACCCGAAGGAGCTCACTCTCTGATCTGAGCTTAGAAAAAGGGAGTATTTAATCCAAGGTTCCAGCAGCCTAAAACCACGACTTATCAGAACATACATTAGTTGAGAAAGGAAGGCATGGACACTGTCATTTCCACCCACCCGCCCCATTTTAAACGGGATTTAAAGCCATTCTGAAAATCATATATGCACACGGCAGTGTCTCATAAGCAGAGCAGCAGGCAAGTGTCCCTCCATCGACATGGGTGAGAACCCAGAAGAGAGAGCTGTGGCCGTCCCGTCTCACACCAAAAGAAATCTGACTTG